ATCTACATCGACAACTGACAATAAAAAAATGTCAAGGATGTATAGATACCTTGCAATTACATCAGTGATGACTGGGAAAGATTTCCTCTTAGAGGTTTGTAAAAGAATGAGTTTGCTGCAGTCACGTTAATGTTAATGAGATACTGTAAGTAACATTTTCTCAGCATTTTAGTTTGTGTCATGGGCTAAAAAGATATGTTTTACTACATTTATAGTTATAAAGCAGGAACAATTGACCAGCCCTGCACTTCCTGCTATAGTCTTTAGTTTGGGAAAATGTTACATTAGTGGAACTGGTGCTTACGTTCTCTCTGTGCTCTTCTTTTCTCTCTTCTCATTCCTCTCAACCTTCCTGGCCATGGCAGATGGCTGCCCTCCCTGAGCCTTGATCTGTTGGAAGTTTCTGCCTCTTAAGTGGGAGTTTTGCCTCTAACTGCTTACTCATGAGGGAGATCTTCATGTAACTATATGTGACTTGAGATGACAATCGTTGGGATTTGGCACCAAATTAATAAATAAAATCAAATAAAGAAATAAAAGGACTTGTTTGCTCATTTTGATTGTGGGGTAAATGCAATCTGTGGACTTTTCAACACAATCTTTATTATTCCCAAGACAGATGCAAACAATGTATATTGAGGCCATTCAGAAACAAAGCCACTTCTTTTATAGATTGGAACCTTCTGTTTGTGCTTACCAAAGTTTCTGTGTGTTATTTGGTAGATTACATTAATTTACCGGGTGAAAATGGTTTCTCTAATGAATAATGGGGGGGAGAGAGACCCTAATACAACAGATATTGAAATAGAGATTGCTCTGTGAAATGCCAGCAGTAAAATTATCCTGTTTTATAAAAAGACTTTGCATATACTTTTCTTGCACATGTAGAAACTTTTTTTTTTTAGCAGAAGTAAAACAATCTAGCCTAAGTTAGGAATAATTGAATATATTTGAAATAAGAAATGAAACTGTGACAAAATTTACATTGTAAATGCATATTATCACAACAAAGCAATGCAATATGTACATCAGATGACAGATACAATATACAGACTTGATACATTCTATAATATGCTTAAATATGGCAGTACAAGAGAAATATTTTCATTGCAAAGATATATTTTAAACATAGCATGAACAAAATATACAGCATATTCAAGAGGACTGCATTTCTGTATAATCAGAATATCAAAGCATATCAACTTCACCTTAGTTTTGCTTTCTCTTGCAAATGCTAACCCATTTACAGTGTCGTCAAATCTGTCCATTCACTCTTCTAACCAACAATCTATCCATGCCTCGCCCGTCACACAGCAGTCTGTCAAGCCAATTTTTCTCATCCATCCTTTGGAATTCTCATGTATCCATTCACTTCTCATCCACCCATGAACCCTTCTAAGCATCTATCCATCCACTGCTCATCTTAAACTTGTCTTTTCAAAGACTGATCAACGCTACTTACTTGTGGTTTGTAACAAGGTTCAATCTTATGTTCTAACTTGTATTGTATGAAGACTTTGTTGTTTGATATCTTTTGGTTTTCTTGTTTCCATTTCTAAGATTTACCATCTAAATGAAAATCAAATAAGTCGTTTTCCAGCCAGTTCTCATTCAGAGGATGTCAAATGATGCCTTTTTGACAAAGACACTGGCAGTTCACACATACATTCAAAATTCCTTTGTTGTTGGTGCTACAATGACATAGATATATGGCAACTATGAGATGAATTTACTCTAAACTATTTACATATAATACATACTTACAAATACCATTTCACTAGGTAACCATCATTTTCTTTTAAACGCATAGATTTCAGATAATGAAGAGGTATATTTAATCTAAACCACAACCTTTGTCAAACATAGTCAAGTCCTTAAATCAATATGTGCAAGTAAAATGAGAGTGTCAGTTATATTAAGCAGTATGTTAATCAGTACTTGATTCCACCTAGAGCGATCATTAAACCACACCCAAGAAAGAACTCTGCAAGGCATGTGAGGGGGCAGTTTCTCATAACTCCCAAAATATTGCTTTTAAGCTACATTAAATCATGAACCTCATTATGCTCTTTAAACGTTGTTTTCAAAAGTGTGTGTGAATGATGCACAGAGTGAGCAGGAAAGAGTTGAGTTGAAATACTGAGATGAACTGGACCAGGTTGCTAAGAGCAGCATGACCATGGGGCAGTGAGGAAATGGGGATATTGTGCCCAGGCATGGTAGTAGGAAACTGTGCTTGGTGTGAGTACACCCTTATGGCTTTCCATCTTTAACTTCCAGATGTGTTCTTCGTTTAGAAAAGGACAGTTATCTCTCAGTCTCAAATATCTTTATGGCTGATTCACAGAGGCATCAAACCAAGGGACATGATGTACATGTGTGAAATGCCAGCAGCAATTGACAGAATGGCAGCGTTTGTGTTGCATTATCCTTGCTGTGATATAATATGCCATTTATCTGCAGCTACAGTTCTGCTTCCGCAGTGACTAGTCTATACAATTCATCCTAGCAGTAGAAATGCAATACAGTGTTGAAAAGCCTGTGAGGGAGCAATGGAGTACGACAATACAGCAGTTATACATAAAATGGATCCCTCAAAATTATGCTAACACTGATGTTTGTTTACATTTGTCAAATGTGTCCGTGGCCCTCACCAAGTCCTATGTCCAGTCTACAGATCCAAAAGAACAACAACACCAAAAAAACATTATACACCTTATGAAACCTTAGAAAAAATGGTGCTGTTTACTAAAAATCTTTTCCCTGAAAAAAGAAAAACAAACTTCCCTGACTTTTTCCACAACATAGTGAAGTTTACTTTGGGGAGAAAAAAGGGCATGAGTGCTATCTGTCAGAGAAATGCATTTCACCTACAAAACTGAAGGTGGGAACAAATGCTAACTTCTCAGCAGCAAAAACACGGGTGTAAGCACTTTCAGCTGGACCTCAAACAACTCTCATGAATCCAATAACATGTTGCAAAGCTGAACTATTGCTTGGATTCAGCAGAAAAACTAAATCCTTCAATAAATTCCAAGGTTGGAATATGATCAATTGGGTTTCTCGGTGAGTATGCTTCTACGAATTAGTTAAGGCAACACAAACACAGAGATAAAAGAATTCTTCAATAGGGAATCTGTGAGCGTAAATTAATACAATATTTGGAATGTTCTCAATTTAAAAATGAGCTTTCTCACAGTGGCATGAAGTCACCCTTGCAGAAACTCATATCTGGGATTAGATTGCTTAGAAAGCACATTTTCTAGCTATTGTACAGTGCATGCACACAAATCAGAAACTATGTATGAATACCATAAGTCCTGTCTTTAAATAGCAGCTGGCATGCAGGGAATCAAAGTGTGAAATGTTCTTAACAAGATTGGTAGTGAAAATCTCATTATGTAAAAATGAGTCTTACTTTATCTCGGTGGCATGCAGCTCAACACATCGTAGAGATAATTCCATTTCCTTAAACATTAATGCTTCATCTCCATCAAAAGCCTTTTGACTTCTTCTGTGTGCTATTCATTGAAGCTATATAGAGCATAAAATGGAAAACATGATTGTTTTACTTCTCATGTATTTTCTGATAGAGAGTAATTAGCTATCATTAACTGATAAAGGAAATTCTTCTTGAATGACTTTTCCCCACATTTTGCACCCCTGATACAGCAGCAGACTTTGGAACTAAAACTGAACAAATGAATGCATTTTATATGAACAATGAGACAGATATGTGTAAATTAAACGGGTTTGCTTCTAGTGACATCCAACTCTGCAGTTCTGCTGAGTTCTTTTAGTATTACAGCCTTCTCTTTGCACTTAGGTCTCATCAACACACCACTCTCATCAACTTTGTTTTTGCATGGAGCAAAAAGCTGTTTTTAGACAGTTAATGATACACAATCTGCACAGTTCTTTACTTGTTACCAGAAGACAAATTGACTTCAAGTCTTCTTCCAGTTTCTGTCCCCGTATGACATAAAAACAAAGGCTATATTCATATGTTATTACATTCAGCAAACCGATGTGTTCAGCCCTAGCTCTCTGGTTGTTTGGTGAGTAATTTCCAGCCATTTGGCAAATTACACACATTGTTTGTGAGTCTAACAGACAGTGGGGAAGTTGAAACAAAAGAGTTACTTCAGAAAGTATTCAGATCCATTCACTGACCTATTATTAAATAGGTTTAAATATACACAAGGAATTTATATACACAGGGGGGGAAAAATCAGACTTTTCTTTATTAATTAAGCTGACCTCAGTGCCATTAAATATTGTGAAATGGAAAAACAAAGAAATAAACAAACAAAAAAAACTAATCCAGCAATTCCTAAAGTTATAATTTCAGGCAAACTACATAACCGAGTGAGAACAGTCACTGATGGGAGAATCCGCCAAAAGATGAACCATGTCGGCAACAATCTACATGGTCTATGGACCCTTCCCACACACTCAGAAGTAGCTTGGTGTCTGGAAAATTTACTTAATGTCTAATGGTTGCGGAAACTTAACAAAGCAAACTTAAAAGTGACAAAGACGGTTTTGTAATATTTGATTTTTAAGTTTCCATCCATCCGTTCTCTTCTGCTTATCCGTTTCAAGGTCGCAGGGGGGCTGGAGCCTATCCCAGCTGTCTTAGGACGGGAGGCAGGGTACACCCTGGACAGGTGGCCAATCTGTCGCAGGGCTAACACATAGACACAGACAACCATTTGCATTCACATTCACATCTGCAACCACACCTAGGGGCAATTTAAGTTGCCAGTCAACCTATCCTCACTAACTGCATGTCTTTGGACTGTGGGAGGAAGCTGGAGTATCCGGAGATAACCCACGCAAACACAGGGAAAACATGCAAAGGACACACATGATGGTGGTTGAAAACCTGTACGAGTGTGAAAACATAGGAGTAGTCAGAATAGTCTCTGAAGCAACTCTATACTTGATATAATTCGTGTGCGTGCTCCACTAGGATTGAGAAAACCAAAGAAAACAACTTGCAATTAATTATATATATTTTGAACATGAAATGCTGAAACATTTGGGCATCAGTGTAAGAATTTGATCTTAAAGAGTTCTGCTTCAGTGCAGGGTAACAGCAAACCAGGCCGCCTCCCCAAAGCCTGCTTACAACCAGCACATGGAAATTGTCACTTTCCCTAAGGTTATCCAGGTCAGAAAAGGTTTTACATTTCCAGGCATCCAGCATTCTCCACAGAAAGTAATGATTTAACTTTCAGTTCAGCATCCATGAAAGCTTCAGTTCCCCACAGAGACATGCTGGCACTTCCTTGAATTAAAAACCTTATATGGCTTTCCTACTGTGGCATTCAGGCAGGCTTTTTTCTAAAAAAACTACATTTGAAAAACAATAGCAGGCCATATTTGCAAATTCATTAATAAGAGCTACAAGTAGAAAACCTAGAATTGTCCAGCTTAGGAAATTACAGTTAAAAAAACCTACAGTTATAGTCATCAGCCATATTTGTAGTTAAATATAATGAACTATAGTGGTCATCCATGTTTATTTGCTGTCCTGAGACACATCTCCCCATGTACTGGCTTCATTTTCAGAGTCGGAGAGAGCTGCCGTACACAGATCACTGAAGATATCTGCAAAGACAAGAAAGCATCAAGTCAATGTTGATGCCATTACAAAATGTAGTATTCAAAATTCAAACAGCACTTAAGAATGAGGATGCACAGCCCAGACTGCAGTTCCAATAAAAAAAAGAACCCCCCCCAAAAAAATCAAGCATTAAAAAAAGAAGACATAATAGAGCAATATTCAGACTGCAATAATATCAGCCAGTTCGTTGCATAGAAAATTATAGGGAAGGCAGATAAGGGCACTCAGTGCAGACAGGTGAAGAGAGCTTTTTGTAAATGGACTCCACTTAACTAAAATGCTGAAGGTCAACTGCTAGAGCATGGAAGTGGGTCTGCCTTAAGTATGAAAAAACACAGAAACAAAGAGGAAAATGATAAAAAGGAGTAGAGGATGATGGTAAGTGACCTGACAGAAGAGGTAGTTCTTTTTAAGAGGGAACACACCATAACAACACAAGCAAGGCCACAGCAAAAAAAAAGAAAAAAACACTTCAAGGACAAGCCTTCAAGTCGGCATGGGAGCGTTGAGATGGTAGGGAGATGGATTAAGGACAGAGAGGACAGAGATGAGGAAAGAATGAGAGAGGGGAAAAATAGAAGGGTCTATCCTGTGGGAAAAGCATACACTTTGTCTATGAATGCCTGATCTCATCAACCCAGTATTAAGATTAACAATATGTGCTCAAAGTTAAAGATATAAATATATTAAAGCTGTGTATAGAGTCCTTTCTATGTGGATATAAAGTATGAGGAGCTCATAAGCATTTCCCCAAATATAAATTAACATTAAATCACGTGTAGCTGGTATGTTAATCATATTAATCACAAAACTCCTCATGCTACTTGCAGCACGCTACCGATTTACATGGATGTATCTGATAGTTAATGCCCAGAAAATGTTACTAATAGTCAGCTTAAAAATATGTTGGCAAGTATATGGAAACTATTTGAATGCATTTTAAGCAAATATAAATGATAAGATTTCTAGTAGTTTCTCCTTTGGCTTAATTTCTTTTCACAAACTAAAAACATCTTAGTCAAACAAAGCGTGTCACCACAAACCTCGTGAGCATGACGTGAGAAATTTCTGTTTATTTGTCAAATGTAAATGGGATGGAAGCAAGAATAGATATACAGGAAAGAAAATAATGTGTGCTGAGTGAATATAGACGATATCTGTGACAGAAACAGTGCTAGTTGTAACCAGCTGCTATAGTAGCTAGCTGGTTAATTCTTCAAATTACAACTATACTGCGAGCATGACTAGCAGCAGGAGCCACTTTATGCAAAACTGCAACATGCTAATGCTAGTTGAGTTGGCTCATGTTCACTTAGTTATGCTCCACCCAGAATCTGCCCAGGAGTAGCATAACTAGCCTCCCTCTATGGGGTCTTAGTCAAGTATACCTACTCTACACACCTGCCCGAAGTGGGAGAAATGACAAAGAGCTTGATTTAACTGCTCTAAACAGCTGACGAGTGAAAGCACCTGATTGAAAGCCAGTAACAGCTTTATTGTTGCAACTGGAAATAGTCTGCCATGTCCCAGGTAATTATTAATTTCATGGTATCAAAGTCTGAATCTAAACATCAGTTACCGAAAATTGACAATTCAAAAAAACAAGTGAAGTTTTATCTAACATCAATCAGAGAGACAGAGACAGAGACAGAGAGATGAATGTGCTTCAGTCAGTGGCATTTGCATTCAAGCCAAAACTCTTCCATCCCCCTCCACTTCATCCCTTTTCTCCTTCCTCTCCAACAGCAGGTGGACCACCCAGTTAATTTGGTGCAACTAACATCGGAGAGTGAGGAGAGGAGCAGATGAAGTGGGATTAATGGGTGGTATGGAGGGGGTGGTGAGTGAGTGTGTTACAGCAAAGCTGCCAGTGGTTAGTCAGAAGCTGCAGTGTTGTTACTGAATTGAGTGACCTCCTTCTGATGCTGTTTGCAGTATACTGGATGGGACCAACCCTGTCTTCTCTGTTAAAAGGTTCTTGACTAGCCTAGGACATGAAACACAATAGAGAGGAAGGTCTTCACTCAAACACAGGAGTAAGGTAATTGCAGCGATACTTTTTTTATTATAGGTCATTCATTTCCAGAAGCAAACTGCTGAACCAAAGGAAGTTAAAAACAAAAATAATAACTTTACAGGAAAATAAGTCTGTGGACTAAAGCCACGAACCACATAAGTTAATCTGAAATTATCTGTTATGGTGAATTCTCAGTGAATCCTGATAATGCCTGTTCATATTAATGACCAAGTATGACAGCACAGGGGAACAAGAAGGTTTTAGCATAAACAAAATCATGACTAATGATGCTAGAACTTTATTTAATATAGATTTCAAAATGTCACCAATGTTTATTTTAGGCTCTGCCAGGAAGTTATTTGAAATATTATATTAATGTCAAAAACTGTAAATGAAATACCTGTAAAGCAGCAAGCATACAATTCTGCTCAGCTTGTGAAAGGTCACAGCCCCTTTCAGAAGCATTTTTATTATTCTTGTGTTCCTTTTAATCCATATGTGTAGCTAGTGTGCCGATCAAAAGAACACAGAGTGCAGAGAGACACCTGATGATTTTGCATTCATTACTTATTTTTAAAGAATAAGTTAAAATATACATAGTATTATATATTTGCAGTCATACCATGTGAAGCACAAGAGTTCAGGTATACAGTAGCTCCAGCATAACACACAGCCCTTGGTGCATATTATTTCACTTATTAAATAAAAACGAATTTAAGCCATAATTATAAAAACGATAGCACAGTAATGAACACAAATACAATCACTGCGACAGCCGTGTCATTCCACTTCTGCAGTCACAGCTGAAACTACAGACTTTCTCAGCAGCAGTCAGTAAGAGATCGTGTTTTCGTTCTAGATGCGGTGGTACAGGGCAGCCACAGCCGAGGGTGCACTGATTCTTGCAGCTGTCACAACCAGTGGTGGCCTACTAAATAATACATGCTTCTGTATAATCATACAGCTCAGTCTCTCTCTGTGAGTCAGAAGAAATGCAAATGTTATTGAGAGGTAATGCAAAAAAATAAAAAAATAAAAAAATCCCACTGTGACCTTTTGGTAGCTCCATACAATTCAAAGGAAAATAATCTCCCTATATATAAGAAGAATGATATCGAAACTAAATAAATGAATTATTGCATGGGTTACACTGACCTTTTTCTGAATTTATAGTCATTTACTGAGGTTTTGGTAGCTGCTACACAAACTAAAAACAAAAAGTGAACCAATAAAGGCCTTTTAGGGGAATAAATCCTGCAAAATTAACATTAAATGTGTTTATTTTTTACCATTTACTGTTTGGGTCCTCATAAAAACAGTGAACTACTACTAGCCAACCAAGCGTTTTTATAAAGTTAGCTAAAAAAAAATAAAAAAATAAAAAATAACACACCCCTTTTATCATGACTTGCACTGCTACTAATCCCAGATATCAGAACCTTAGTAACTTTTACCAAAGGCTTATTTTTGCATGGTGTAAGTGAAATTTTGTAGCAATGATATTTTAAATGTCCCTGCAGGCACGCTGTGCAGGACTTCTTTACAAGCAGAAAAACTATTTCGACCTCTTCAGGAAAGATATACAGGGTGTGCAAACTGGGATGCTGTTAGTGCACAGGAAAGTTGGAAGAGTATTATGAATGAGTAACATCAAGCATTAATATGTCTGTGGTGCACATAAATATGAAGGATAACAGCTTTTCCCCCAGACATTATTTGTGCTTGCATTGATTCAGCAATCAGCACTGCCAAACTGCAATGAAATGTATCAGTCAGGGAACAAAACTGACTCATGTGCTGCAGCGTAGTGTTTGCTGATGTTTTTCATGGCCACAAGCAGGGTTCACATTGTTAAACTTCTACACATCTTTTGATTTATTTAGTGTTGAAGGTGGCAAGGTAGGAACTTTACAGTAAGTAGCGTCTTAACATAAAATAAATGCAGTTTACTGTTGTTTGATGGTGATCAGGACTCTTTCTGAGCTTTCATTGATGAGCTTTGTGGCTGGCCTGATAATTGTTGTGAGTCATTACCCTCCTGTCTTTCCTCACACCAAATTCTGTCATCCTATTAAAAAAAAATAAATTAGATAATAATTGAAGCTGCTACTGTGTCAGCCTTGCAAAAAACATGTGCCTCCCTCAAATTAGAGACAGTAGTTGAAATATGAGCATCAGTGTTATTAGCATTCTTCAGAATGCTAAAACAAAGACTGAAAAACAGCATAAATCACAGGGCTGTTGCAATAATAAGTAATAAACAATGAATGAAAACTGAAGGGTATGCCCGCCTTACTAACCTGTGCAATCAATAATGACTCAAGCACAAATGCATAAACATCAGCATATATATTTATTTATATTTTTATACTATATTTACTTATTAGAAATTGTCTTCTTTTTAATTTTTTGTTCATAGAATGAAAGTTTAAGATAGTTAGGTTGCTTTCTTTGCACTGAATGGGACCATATATCATTTCATTGTATTTTTAGTATAATTGCAATAAAGATTTAGATTTTATGTGAAGACTACCATTGTTGATCAGTTGCATTAACAAGATCCAGCACTAGACATTAGCAACACTGCCAGGCCACCAGGTTATGCTTATGTGGTTTATATTTAAAAAATCATCTCTTCACCTATTGTTTCCAAGGTATCCTATTTGCTCCTATGACAACCTGTGCAAGGAAACTATGTTTATCTTTGCACTGGCTTTCTGCCTGCAGGAAAACTGAGTCATTAGGCCAAATATTGAAAAAACCAAGACAGATCGATAATAACTTTCATTTTATAAACACTGAAATGAACGTGATGGTCACACAGTTTACAAGACAGAAAGATGACTGTTGTGCATTCAATGCATCCCACTACTATCATCACCTGGGCCAAAACATCCATTACTGTCAGTGGAGACAGGAGATCTGTTTAAGACACGAGCCTAAAATCCATTTTCTTTCTTTTAAAGAAATCTGAAATATGTATATTACTTATGGTATATTTACCATAATTTTGCAAATAAATTATGATTAGGTGAACCAGGTAAAGCCTTAATGAATGTTTTTAAAAATAATATGTGCACACTGAAGGTGTAATCTGACATGAATGGCAATCCTTAGGCTAGTATGACAACAGACTTTAATTCCATCTGGAATTATGGTGCCAATGGCTTTCACTGGATGGGCAGTTCTGAAGACTTGACAGAGGATGTAGGGAAGCTGTTTCTTGATTCTTCTCTTTCACATTAGAGTGAAGTACGTCTCTGTTTATTCCTCTCATATGTAAATTAGTGTTGACAGGGTGTGGCTGGGTGTGCTGTCTAGCATTTAGACAAATATACCACACAAACCCACAGGAACAGGGACAGGAACACTGCGTGTGGTGCAGACGTGAAGTGAAAGCCTAAATCTGGAAAGGTGCAAGACACTCATGGGGCGGGGTGGGGGGTGGGGGGTATGTTAGTAAGCATGGTACTGTTCCTGTTGGAAAAACTGACTTCAGCAGTGCATACACAATCATAACAACACAAATGCACAGTGGACAATCTAAATACACAAAAACAGCGTGCACCAGGTAAACAAAGACATACACAAATGATGGACATATATTAGTATACAGGACACATAGAGTTTTATATGACACTGCAGTAGTCCTTTTTGTGCCAGTTGTGTTCTATATGACAGCAATAGAACCAATGAAAAGAGAAAACTTATGAATTCTTCATGTTCCTCAAGCGTAGAGCAGAGATGAGAATGAGTGACTGAGACCTTTTAGCGGCAAAAATCCATAGATGGAGTCGACAGGAGACTGTTTTAAGGGCTGAAATATGCATGAGGTGATGAAAAATGAGCATATTTAAAGCAAGTTGAGCTTTTATCTCGTAGACTATTAATCACTTTCTAATGCAAGGAGCTTGCATGAGCTCAAAACATTCTTTCAGCTCACTTTCTAGAGGCTGCTCATCCAAGCAGGCAGTAGCTGCTGCTTCCTTGTCAGGTCAGAAGCAAAGATGGTGTTGGTGAGGTGAATCAAACAGTGATTTATTATTAATCTGAAGCCATTGTTTTCTGCAACCTTCCTTGATTTAGCAACAGTCACACGTTTTGTTGTGTTCCTACTGCTTCATCAGGATAAAGTTACAGTCAATGAAATTTTAATTCCTTGTGAGTCACTCTCAGCCTTTAATCCTTGTGAAGATAGAACAGGGCAGCAAAGAAGCATCCCGTTGCACAAGTCTCATTTCCTCTCTTGAGCTTGTTTGATTAATGTGGTTGAATTGAAGGTAGTTTTAAACAGGGAAGCCGTGCTGTGGGTAATGATTACAGATAGCAGTGGAACTGCAAAATTCTTATGCAAAAATACACAAGATCAACAATAACAATAATTCAATGTCATACACTCAAACACATGGGCTATGCATGGAAATATTGCCTTTCTGAAAGGTTCATTTTCTTTTTTCCTTGGTACTTTGTCAGTAAGGATAGATTCAGCTTATCTGATTCTGCTCTTTTCCCCTCTTTCAAATGCTATCAGCCCATAAAGTGGCTGCTGCCTGTTGTCACTCCCATGGTGATGGTAGTCGGACTCATCCACTATGTTGTAGGCTGAGTAGACTGCTATTACCTTACTGCTGTAAAGACGTAATGAAACCTGGTAGGCTCAGTGTTAATCAAAGCAACCATAGCCCAACTTCAAGCCATAAAAGTACCCAAGTTCATGGGTTATTTTACAAAAGACTCCCACTGCGCAGAACAGCTTTTGCACCAGGCTGTTAACAGCTTTTTTCATTTTTTTTTAACACTTACTGGTCTTTGTGCTGATGCTTTCTGAACAGACAAAAGACAAACAATGATGAGGGTGACACAAAGACACACTGTCAGAAATGACTGGTAATTTCACAATTACAATTAACAAAATAGCTCCATAGAAATCCGTTGGTACAAAGACTATTTCAATCAAGCACATGATTTTGGTGTCAGATATGCATGAATAAAAGGACACAGAATGGTTCCATTTTTAAAGAACTGATAGCTGGATGATTAGTGCAGGCTAAATAGCAATGAGGCAAACAATATATTTCTGGAGAAACATTGATACCAGGCTGTGAGGCTCCTGAACTCTCTGCCCCCCTCTCACGGACAATAACCATATCCAACTTCTTAATAGCAATGAACTGGTCTGCATTGGTGCATCATATCTTTATTCTCTTCCCCCTCCTGCCCCCCCCTCTTTCTTAATAGATAACTATCATATCTGATATCATATCTCACAGTACAATAATATTGAATGGGTTGCATTGTTGTACTTTGTCATGTTTCTCAGGTCTTTGTCTGAATTTCTACCAACATTACTTGTCATGTTCTCATGTTATTGCTAAGGATTGTCTATTGCATTGGAGTCACACTGGGTTAAATATGTACACTTGGGTTTTAAGGGGTATTTATTATTTTCTTCTTTTTTTGGGTTGTATGGAAGCCCCAAACGCAATTTCATTGTTCTTGACAATGACAATAAATAAATACTATACTATACCTCTACTGTATGACCTATTGTGCTATCCCAGAAAATACCTTTTGAAGTCTACATTATACTGTATATACTATGTCCACAAGTCCACCTAGCTGTGCTCATGTCCAAACGACCTAAATTTAATCATCAGACAACAAGTGTGAGGGTCTGTGCATGCAGTCTGCCTGTCTGGCTTTTTTGTGACTGCACTGACTTTTCTACAGAGAATTTAAATTACAATGCACAAACTATGCCTGCGCCCCAGGCACTGGAGTTCAAATGGACTTCAAGAAAATATACTAAGAATGGCTGCTCGGCCATCAGGTCTTCTGTCTGTGTTGAAAACAGAGTATAAACTAAGCTTCTAGCGACTGGAGGTGGTTAATAAGGGTGCTGGGGAATGTCATGGTGTCCGTGACTCAGGTACTAACTTTTAAAAGCTAAGGCCTGAACTTTTTTGAAACCAACAGTCCACCTCTGCTGAAACTGGTTGAAAATGTAGTTTCTCAAAAGTTGGTTAAACAATCAAATTAGAGGCTCTAAGCAACAAGGGATGGACATCTGGTCTAAGGTGTCCAAGTGTGAGTTTTGGGGGTATGGCATGTCTTTATGAGCTGCAGAGAAGGTGTTGTAGCTCAATGTGCAGTCTTTTTTGTGTGTGAACAAAAGGTTTCAATAACTGGCCTTTAAAAAAAAAAAACCTACCCTATTTAAATTTGGCCCCTTCAATGTCATGAAGGAAGCCACATTTGGATCTATATAAGGGATTTGATCCTTCGCACTGGCCAAATTCCACTCTGTGGTTTTACTGCAATCCTCAAACATACGCAGTAACCCAATGTTAACTTTTCTTACAAACTTGCATGAATTTCGTGTGGAGGCTCATTACTGGTAATGAGAACTGGGTCTCCAGTTACAACTGAGGTTTCAATGGAAGAGTCCACAGTTTCCAAGCCCTGAGGCAGTGCTTCGGGTGAGGACCGAGAGCAGGCAGCGCTCATTATTTTTGCGACATTCACTGGATTGTGCACCATGAATTAATCTTCCAGGTTGAGGCTGTCAACATGGACTTCTACTGTACCCTCATAACGCTTGAGGGAGAAACTGACCAGAACACTGGTGCTTGCCAGAGTGTGATAGTGTGCTGGCACAGTATATTCTGAAAGGTTTTCCAGTCACATCAACACAATCTTTGCTTGCCACCTGCTGAGAGGCCCATTCCCAGAACTTTTTGATCACACCTCATAAATTACCTAAAAATGTGTTGCCACACAATTATGCAAAATACTGCTTTCAACACTTTTTGTACATCACTGTTTAGGTCCCTCAGTAATCAAATATTTAAACATTCTCCAAGCAATTTCTTTTTTTTTTGCAACATGAATGCCCTAAAGGTATATGCTGTAAAATTCCCTGTAATGTTTGCTCAGTTTTATTTAGGAATACAATATCTTAAAAACAGAAATTTAAAAACTTGAAGGGAGGCCTGTTTGGAGGGTATACAGCAGCCAATAAATGGATGGCGGGTGGTGGGGGGGGACATTCTAAATAATCCTGTGGTTCAGCCAGCAAACAAAAACATACCAGTTTCCATTCTTTGCTTCCTCCACAAACTGGACGAGGTCACCTGTCTCCAGAGAGAGGTCTTGCGGATCACGAGACTCGTATGTTAGCTGTACTCGGAAACGGCTGCTGTCACCCTGCAGAAAGAAATGGTTTTCAAATTCAACATTTAGCCAATCCCAAGACTTTAAGCTACTGCTTAAAGTTGTTCTACTGTACTGTGGTACTGTTCTACTCTAACTGCTGAGTAATAAACAATACCCTACAAAATGAAACAAAGACAGCAGATAAAAGCATTTAAATTTAAATATACCAATGACAAGACATTGGACTTCATTTATTTTGCTATTCTTGTAGTACTAGATAGTAATAAATAAGTTAATGATTATAAGATTTATAGGGTCTTTAGGTACATGCACACCACAGGGATTGAATGTCCCAATTTTTTCTTTGTCTTATCTGAGTTGCATCCACATGTGGGATTATTTAGTTGTTGTTGTTGCAGATGAACACAATTTAAATTGTGATTGACTGCATGATGCAAACATACTCTCCACTTTGTCAAGTACATCTGTTTAACTGCTTGTTAACACAGATATGCTCTTGTCTAATATACCAATCACATGGCAGCAACCCAAAACAAGATCAACATGATGTGATCTGACCAAGTGTCAGAATGGGAAAGAAAGGTGATTTAGGCGGCTTTGGATGTGGCATGGTTGTTAACGGGGTGGTCTAGGTATTTCAGAAACTGCTGATCTAGTGGGATTTTAATCACACAACTTCCTCTAGGGTTTACAGAGAATGGTCTGAAAAAGAGAGAAATATCCAGTTAGCAGCAGTTCTCTGGGTGAAAGTGCCTTGTTAATGTCAGAGGTCAAAGGAGAATGCTCCGACTGCTTTAAGCTGATAAGAAAGCAACAGTGTGTTAGATAACTATTACAACCAAGGTATGAAAAAGAGCTCGTTTGAATACACAACACACTGAACTTCGAAATAGATGAGCTACAGCAACAGAAAACTACTACTGTCAACTAAAGGCAGGAAACTGACACTACAATATACACAGGCAATTTACAAATGGACAACAGAAGATCTGAAAAACACCAAATCTGAGTAGTCTTGATTTTGTGCTACAGCATTTGGATGGCAGGACCTGAGCAGAAAGATCCATGCTTTAGACATTATGGTTCCACGTATCAACAGTTTAGGCTGGTGGTTGTGGTGTAATGGAATGGGGGCTGATTTCTTGGCACATTTTGGGCCCCATTATTACCTGCTGAGAAGCATCATTTAAGTGCAACGGCCCACCTGAGTACTGTTGCTGATCTTGTCCATCCCTTTATGACCACAGTTTACCCATCATCTGATGGTTGTTTCCAGCGGGATAACACACCACGTCATAAAAGCTCAGATCATCTGAGCTTTTATGACGTGAGCTGACAATGAGTTCACTGTACTCAAATGGCCTCCACATTTACCAAATCTCAATCTAGCAGATCACATTTGGGATATGATGGAACGGGAGATTCACATCATGGACATGCACCTGACAAATTTGCAGCAACTGTGAAGTTCTGACGGGAAAATGTAGTCCATCCTACATCTAGCTAAGTACCTAATAAAGTGTCCTACAAATGTATGTTCTAAGCTGCTACATTCCCTGCATCACTAACGTGCTCAGCCCTCGTGTCGATAGTGTGCACGTGCGTGTACGTCACACAGATTATAATGGATGTGGGAATGCTGCCATATTCGGCAGACACGTGCAGTTAAAATCCTACCCCTTTTTCATCTTCCCCTCATTTCCTAAATGTCAAGTGGTCAGTGCCTGCTGCTAACAAGAAGGGAGAACATGGGAAATAATTAAGCTGTGGAGGGGTCCTCCTTTAGGGGGATTGAAATGGGATTTAGTGAAAAAGAAGGGAAAATGAAGAATGGGTGAAGAGGCAATGAGAGATGAGTGTATAGCAGTTGGGGGATGGTTCATGATCATAAAATGTCATGATTTATCTGACAGCTGACATGACTCAGCTGGAGTCGAATGAGTGCAGTTGAGTTACGTTCCTCACTCGGGCAAAAGTTTAATAATGCTAATTGTTGCTGAAATTGTCACACCTGGTTTCAATTCTGGACAAAATCATTTGCAACATTCCGTTTTACTAAGTTTCACTCTTAAATAAAGTTTCAAAATGATCCAGTGATGTAGCAAATCATATCTGAGCTTCACTTCTTTACATTTTTTAGCTGATGTGGGCAGCAGAGTTAAATGTTGCCTACATTTTTATTGTTGCCTTCCTCGTCTGAAGAGTTGGAGGATTCCTCTGCGCTGGAGGGAATCGTCTCAAAGTCCTCTGTGTCCATGGAAAGAAGACGCCGCTGGGCCCAGCCTGAGGGGAATCAATACACATGATTTACCATTAAAAATGTACTCATAAACAAAGGGGGGCATTAATATGCATCTTGGCAGGTGATGACGCTTCGGGAAAGTAATGTTGCTGTGCAGTCAAATAATTGGTTACATCATCGTGAAAGCTTGATGATTCTGTTTCCAAGAATTCAACCTCAAGCCAGATTTCTCACATTCAGGATGACTTCAATCCCCGTACGAGTCGCAGCCTGCACAAGGGAGGCTGTCACTACCCATACTTCTCACGCTAATAACGACTTTAGCATATGACTGAAGCAGCACATACAGCGCATGCATATTTTAAAATAAGTCTAATATTTATGGTATCAGTGTAAAAAGATTACACTGCTTATCCAGACATCACTCTTGCCTCAGGGAAGAATTGAACTCACAACCTTTTTGAGTACTGGTGCAGTTTACTGATCTATCAGCACACTGTTGAACGGCAGCAAAAAAGTAAGAGGTTTTCAATGACAACACGGGAAATATTTGAACATTTTTTCCCACAATGGCAGAAAAAAGAAAGAAACACAAGAAAAAACAAACAACAACAAAAACACAGTGCTTATCCCAGCATCAGTTTAAGACAGTTTAAAAGCTGCACAGTGGGTCCAAACACTCACTCTCACACGCCTGGGTTTTGAACACAGGCTTTTGAATTCCAAAACTGCTTCACCAGTTATAATAATGCAAGGAGCTGTGAGAGCTTGGCATTTGTAAAGCATCATTCTTCAACTTTACAATTTGTTGAAGTAAAGTGCTTTGTAAAAATAAAGAATAAAGCTCTTAAGATGTGATTTTAGTTGTTACATCACCGCAGATCTATTGTGAGTCGCCGCTGGTGTTGTGCTCTCTCTACGTCCTGTTTCAGGTACTGCATCTGCTCCTGTGGAGCCAGTGTCCTGTGCACAGCTGAGTGCACTCAGTCAATCAGCCACTGAGGTGTTTAGACCGGGGGAGAAGAGAGGGCCAGGCCAAAGAGCCTTTTGCTTTGACAGCAATTGAGCAGTGTGGTTCTGAAAGCAGCCACTTACTCCTTTCGGTAAAGTTTTTTTTTTTTTTTATCAGCTTTTTAACAACATATTTTATACCTTTTCTTTAATCAGGTTAAGTTTCGTTGCAGTTTTCTTTTTGTTCTTGATAAAACTACTGCACTAGCCTTTTATTAATTATTGATCTATTTTTAAAAAAAAGATATATATATAAAACCTTTGGAATTATATATTAAATTTGTGGTTCTATAAAACTAAGGGAGATTTGAATGTTTCAAGTCTGTCACCACCAGCACCAGGTATTTTCCATTTGACGTCACAGCTAACACCATCACAACACCCCACCAAAGGCAGTAGTGATAATCAGACCTAACTTTGATAACAGTGTCTGTTTTCTTCATGGTTTAGGTGGGGTGAGCAGGTTCTTCCACTGCACATCTACTTTCCGTCTCCATTTTACGGTTGCTGAGGTTTGAAATTCATCTCAAGAAAGGGCTGCTTGAAAACCAACTTTCTTATTTGTAAATTCACTTCAATTTTATTCATATCGCACCAAATCACAACAGCTTATTTGTGCTTGATGAATTCTGACAGAATGCTGAGTTCAGCGAGTCCCCAAAATTCAAAAAGGAAAAAACAACAAAAAACACAATAAGGAACGCACAAAAACCAAAATGAAATGAAAACAAAAGCATCCATTTATATTCACAGTGTTTATGGGAAACTTCATTTCTTCTGTATGGCAAATTAGGCTAAACGCTGCAAAATCTCCCCCTTTTTTGAGAAATGATGTAGCTACGTTGTCCAGTCAGTCTTTCTTCATAGCTGTATAACTTATGGACAAAAAGCCAGAGTCAGCATATGTGATAAGCTCTCTTATCCTCCTTTCTTTCTTTTTATTTAATCTCTGAAGGCACAAAATAGTCATCAAAATGTGGTCACAAGCCTCTTTCCTTCTCATTTTTATATGGCCTACAATAATTCTGCATAATTTTGAGCAGTTTCAAATTCTTTTGTGGTCTATAACAACCACTTGTTTGTTACACTCATATCAAACATTCGGTATGTTTTCAAGTCTATGGTTTTCCATTATCTTATCACTACTGGTTTAGTATCTGGCTTCAACATCAGATCCCATCTATATATCGTCATTCAGTGTTGGGAAGGTTACTTTTAAAATGTATTCCATTACAGATTACAAAATACATGCCCCAAAATGTATTCTGTAACGTATTCCGTTACGTTACTCGATGAGAGTAATGTATTCTGAATACTTTGGATTACTTAATATATTATCATGCTGTTTACAACTACGTGAATGTACTATTGCTGTGATTTAGTAGTAGTAGTAAAGGGACCTCTGACTAATAGGTGGGTTTCATGTCGGGCTCATAGCCGAAAAATAGCTTTACTTTGTTGTCTGGGTCAACTATGCTTGCAAGAGACAGAGAGCGGCGTTGAAAGGCTGCTCCAACGGAACTTATTGTTTCGGAGGAAAACATGAACACAGCGTACAGTCGAGTCTTAATAGCTTACTTACAACTGGGCTCGTCAGGCACTCTTCTTGGCTGCAGTGGTTATTATTATATTTACATGCTTCCAGCTCCCGTTTCTGCTTGATGACAACTCATACTTTTCCTTTTTCTCCCTCCTCGCGCTCACAGACACATAACGTGTATGGCAGTCCATTCTCCCTGCAGCACGGACTACACTGCCCATGATGCTACATTCTTTAGCGCTATACCTGTAGCATTCTGCCTATTAGCTTAGCACAACAACAACAACAACAACAACAACAACAACAACAACAAAAAGGCACTCTCTCAACCAGGAAACACGCAGAGAGAGAGAGCGTCACCCTGTAACCATGGCAACAGCAACGCTGCCACCTGGAATAACAGAACGTAGCTGCCAAACAAAAGCCAAGCAGTCCTGACCCGCCACAATATGAAACAGGGAAGTACCGCAGAGTAATCCATTTATTTCAACAAAGTAACTGTATTCTAAATACCACGGAATACAGTTACTCATATTTTGTATTTTAAATACGTAACGGCGGTACATGTATTCCGTTACTCCCCAACACTGTCGTCATTCAACAGTTATTTTTAGCCTTGGAGCCGATGTGGTCGCATGTACAGATTTTCTGTCTGAAAGGCTTCAAAGTTAAAATTTGAAGGTTAACTGTGATTTAATAATATATCTTTGGCACATGTTTTCTTATCTGCCTCTAAATGGGTCTCTGTTCCTGCTTAGGAAACAGCCATAGGTGCTGTTATCATGTTGTTTTTGATTATTTAGAGGTTTACGTTTAAGAGGAGCTGGAGAGGAGAGTATACAAGGCCGAGCATGTGCACAGGAAGACAGAAGAAATTAATCATGTTAAATTATTAACATTGTAAAAATGTTCCTCTGATGGGTTTATGAAAGGTTTTTACCACTTCCCTCAAACCAGTTGACATTTGAATTTTCTTTCTTTCTTAAATTTGTTTAAGCTTTATTTAACAAGGGAGTAGAAAAATAAAAACTCTCAACGAAAGCACATCATTACAAGGACACATGGACTGGTCAGTAGTTTGAAGCCATTTGACAGACATAGCCTCTGTTTATGTTTTTAAAGAAGACAGTCAATGCGATGCAAAAGGAGGACAATTAAAAAACAAAACAAAAAACAAAATATACTTTCACATAAAACTGAAATCAACTCCACAGGATGATAGTCTCTCAAGTGACTGGAGGAGATGAATCCTCCCCTGTAGTTACCTGGTTGGGAAGTGGATCTAGGGACAGCTGAGGTGCCACCAGGACCAGCAGAAGTGCTGCTAGTCATACTCTGACGTTTCCTGACTGCTGCCATAGCGCCGCGCAATGTATCTGGAGGGAAGCCAACTGCTTTATACCAATTTTGTCATCACAACCGTTAAACTGCACCACAAAAACCCAAAACCTGTATTTAAAAAGCACAATTTCTAAAAGTTGCACAATTACATCCAGTCAGTGTGCTGTCTAATAAGAAAACCATGCAACTGTATCCATGCAGAATCAACGAGAAAAAAAAACAAAACAAGCAACAGAAAACACCAAACAACTACCAGGGAAAATCTGTGATCAAAACACACAAAAGCTACACAGACACACACACACAAATGATACCAATTTCATTTGATGCTCATGCACTGACAAAAAGAACATCACAAACCACCTACAAGTCACCAAAGCACGCACGAAATGGAACTACAAAAGGTGAAACACATCATCCAGAAATAAAGAAGCACAGTCAATCAAGAAATAACATCTTTCTCCTTGTACCTTCATAACCAAATGGAGTGGGATCACTCTTTATTTCATGCCTTTTGCTCTTTACGCTAGCAGAGAGGGGACCTGGGCAGAGGAAATAACATGCAACAAGAGAATTAATGAGAAACCAGCATATTAGAAAGACGGTTGCATCATCCCAAATCACCTTTCATCAACCTTTTAAAGCCCCTTTTAGACATTAGGAAGCTGTAATATTATTTTCTGTTAAAAAGCATTTTGTCATTTAGACATAGGCCATAAGTGGGCTGAATCATCTTAAGACCATTATGACTTTAATTTTTTTTTAAAGAAAAGAGTCATATTTTCCATGCAGTAATAGGCACCTGGATACAGAGTTTCTAAAGATGAGAGCAATTAGTTGACAAAAAATTATTTTTCCATCTTTCCAGCTATATTTAAAAAAATTATTTTTGCTGGAGAATAAATGAAATGGATGCTTTTCTTCAGGGTTTAATTCATGACCATCAGCATAATTAAACAGAATATAGAACTGATGCTGCAGCTGCTTCATTTAAAACCTGAGAATGCAGGCTACATGGTTACCGGTAGCTTCTGACTCTTATGTAATCTCTCATATGTTGTAACTAAAGTATTTTCTGAATCTTTAATGCTGGCAAACATTATTGTTATGTTTGAATTGTTTTTTTCATCTTTTGTGAGAAATATTTGACCTTTGACCACAAAACATCTATAATTATTGATTCATTGAAAAACAAATCTGCACATACAAAATCAAACTGAAAATGTGTTTTGATTGACGTACTATAAAGCCCCACATGTAATATTATAATGTGCCTGGTATCATATTTGATACGTGAGTTTCTCCGACCATAATGTATGCAGATGGAAACATGTCTTCTACCCACTGGTGATAATTTGTGCACTGCAGGAAGTAAGCTGGCTTTGAATCCCCCTGACGTGTATGCATGTCCCTAGTTTTTACCAGTAATAGACACAATCAATCATACAATACATACTTTATGTTACTTGGACTTAATGATTAAGAGTTCTACAACTTTTTTTAGATAAAAACTATATCAAGTAGTTACTGATACAGTACTGTGCAAGAACTCTCTCTCTGAAGTCGCTTAAGCAAGCTTTCTTCTCCTGTTGACTATGTTTTGTTCCATTCTCTGTCAATATGATCCAACAATTGTTTTTCCAGTTTGTACAGCGCTTTGGTCAACGTGTGTTGTTTTTAAATGTGCTTATAGATAAACTGACTTGACTTGAATGACAATGTTGCATCAACAATGTTGAGTTAGAGTTCTGGGGAGTCATAGGCCACGACTGATCGTGTTCTACTGCATGTTCCAGACATTTCTTCTAATACACTGTCAGTGTGTTAGGGATCATTGTGATGCTAAAAAATTAATCACACAACTTCCAGGCAGTTATACAGTGGATCACAATCTGACAGTACCTTTACACATTCATAATTTAATTAATTTTGACAAAATCCCCAAGACCAGTGGCTGAAATGAAAAACCTGAAACCTCTCTTCTGATCTTTGATAAACATATCGACAGCTTATATTTGAAAATTGAATGAATCCCTCCATCAGACCTATTACCTCCGATTTTTAGTTAAATTTTTGTAAAATGTTGGTGTACTTCTGCCTTTTTTCCCTGTCTCCCTTCCTGAAAAATGGCTTCTCCACATCCACCCTTCTACTGAGACTATTTCTACTGACAGTTCTTTGAACATTAGATGTATCAACTGAATGGCCAGATGTTTACCTCCTATTTCTTAATGACATGACTTAAATACCTTATTAGGCCTTTCGCTTCATCTTCTCTACTTGTCCCGTTTCCTCAAGTGTGTTGAGGACTCTCTGCACAGGAAGCCCACACACGCCACATTTTTGGCTAATATCTCTTTGGGAATCATGCTGTTGAAATACTATTTCATGCCTGTCACACTGTGTTATCTTTTGCATTTTTCATAGATTCAAATTAAGAAATGGGAACAAATGATGTGTTTTTGTGAAAGGCTGCTTGTAAGAAAATGCCCAAAGATACAATTTAAAGTTGCTTCTTTGTAGACACAACGCTGGCTCATCCCTTCAACTGGGTGTCTTTTTTTTATTCTTGAATGATTCATATGTCAGTGTTAAGCAGCTTTAAAAAAAAAACAAAATATTCCTCTGACACCAGTCAGAGACAGGGACTGAAAATGACTGAAAAAACATCCAAAGAAACTTTGAGGGACCTTAAGAAGGGCTGAAGAACTATTACAAGACCACTTTTAAAAGATAAAAATAAAACCTGGCTCCTTAGAAGCAAAACATAAAGACATGATGTTGAAACACAGCATGGTAACACTAACATCTGTGTAAAAACACTGCCTCAACACCACATTTATTTATTTATTTATTTTTTGCTTCCATATCAGATATCTATCACACCAGAAAAAAGCACAAGTGTTATGAACTACATTAATGATAGCACTGGTCTGTCCAGTGAAGACGTAACAGTGCAGAGTCGTAAAAATAATGTCTCTAAATGGAATTCAGTCTTCATTCATTTTCATTTTTACACCTGTTCTCCTGCTTGTATTTCATGGAAACCACACGTTTATCTTACAAAAATGTTTTAGGCGCTATGAGGGAGTGATGAACAAAATACAGCCCATATGTTCAATTACTCATAATTCACATTTCTCAGTTTTAAATATAAAGCTGCATGCAATTAAAATTACATGGTAGTGCTACAGATTTTCATATCTGTTTCAACAATATCAAGCAATATAGAGTAATATTGTTCCTTGCTTAGCACACAGTGTGGATTAGAATTAAAAATACAGGCCGAAAAGCAGCAGCCACGCTCAGACCTCCGCTGAGCACTGTGGCCTGCAGTGCTCTGATCGGTCAGTCTCAGCTGCATGAGGGATAATAAAAGAAATGCAATAAAAAGAGGACAGTGAGACTGAATGGAAATAGTTTTTTTTAAAGTTCAATTTGAATTCTTTTCCTGCCTCTGCCTCCTTGAAAATCAGTGTCTCATCTGTATTCGTAAGAGATATTGCACTTCTATTGCCACTTTTAATGTCACCCTGCGTTCCAAATGTCACCTTATCAAAATTCTTATTTCATTACAGTTGCTTAAAAAAAGTATCTGTACTGAATGCCTGCCCACCTCTCGTCCATCCCTTCTTTCTCTCATTGTGTTTTTAGCAATTCTCTATCAGACACGAATCAAATCTCAAGAGAGGAGAATATGGTGAAGTTGCTGACCAGCTAATTTGCTATTTAGCCAGCAAGCTGATACTAGAAGTGCACTTGTCTCCCAGGGGATGTGCATATGGAAGCTAATTTGGCAAGCTAATGCGCATAATGTATCCATGCTTGTAGCTAACAGAGAAACGTGAGCAAGAAATCTAAAGTGAGCTGTAGATTCAAGTCTGTATGTTGCTGTGGGTCAGAATCACTGTAAGCTTACAGGAGTGATACACATACACGTACTGATCAAACTCATATGTTGCTCTGTATTAGAAATGATTTACTGTTAGCAAAGACACACAAAGAAACTCTGTTTGGCACTCTGTAAATCACACAAAAGACTGGATGTTTAGGCTCTCTCAGATATAATGAGAGGTAAGCTAGCCCACCTTTCTCCATAGGTGAAATTATGGGTTAATGTTTAAAACACATCTTTAATTATATTTCCTATTTTAGCTGAGTAAACAAAACCCCAAAACAAATTGGCAGGTGTGTGGCAATGCACTATAACCTAGTCACCTGTTTAAAATACAATGAAAAACATTAAAATAACCTCAATACGAAACAAATTTGTCACCGTTTCGATTCACTTGAATTCTCATTGTACAGAAAAGTGGACCCTGGCTCTTTCTTACAATTCCTCTTGGGCAGCTCTTGGCAAGAGGGGTGAAAAACCACTGACTTTTATCAGGAAGAAAACCTCCATCAGAGTCACACTCAGACAGGGTGCCCATCTGCCTCAACTGGTTGGAGGAAAAGAAGTGTGGGGAGAAAATCTCTGCTGAAATCTGTGAAAACATTCAGTTCTCCAAACCTCTCCCTGCATCTGTATTTTTGGAGAATAGGTTTGGTACGGTGGACCAAAGAAAATCAAATCAAATCAAAATCTGGCAATAAAGAAAACAAACAACCGCCATTGTAATGATATAAAAAATGCAAAATGTTCAATTCTTCCTTTTTGATCCAGCCCACAAAACATGTAATTTCTTTTCACTTTAAAATATGTACGATATAGCAATGCATCCTTTTTGTTTGACACTTCACAACTACTTACTGTAATAATTAGAATTCAACCTATTGAGATGCACATCAGTAACAATGCAGCCAATGTGATCAAAATAAGAAAAAGGGGGAAAGAGCAGGAAGAAACTACAAAGGCTGGTACCTTTTGTGCGCCGTGTAGCGAAGGAGGAGGAGGAAGAGGAAGCAAGAGACGAAGTGAGAGAGAAGCGGCGGGGGACCTCAGCCTCTTTAGCAGCAGGTTCTAAAGCCGGAAAGGGGTCAGGAGGAAAAGAAGAAAGGAAAAAGCATGGGGAGAGAAAGCTTTAGTAACGGGATTTAAAAAGAGGAGAAATGACAAGGAAGAGGAGGATGGACAGCGACTCTGGGCATTAAATAGAATGCAAATCAAAGACAAAGAGAAAGCAGCCTTCACGGTCTTTCTTAGCACTGCCATCTTAATAACCAATCATCTATACATTCTCTAGGAAAGACCATAAAATGCAACTGAGAAAGAAAAATGATTGTTTTGAGAGTTTACTAAGATTTTACTTTCAGAATCTAAGTTTAGACATGCCAATAAAAATTAAATTGGACTGATACAAAAGTCTAAAGTAGAAGGATTCCCTCTTAGTCATCACTAATGAAATAAGTATGATTTTTTTTGTTTTGTTTTACCTGATGCAACATCACTGCAACACAACAGTGGGATAGTTTTCACTAATTTTAAAGAAAGGTTTCTATCAGTCGACGTGTCTGCCGTCTAGTGACTTAAACGTGACTGGAGTTGACCGTCTTTCAAAACTGCTCTCTCATTCCTCCAACTGTGTCATCAGCGTACCCGTGTGGTCGTACTGCTGTGAAACAAAAACAAGTCTCCTCTTCCTTCAGATATGTTTAAACATATTACAATGTCAAGAGGGCTTTGGTACTGTGAGGTGAAATGCCGTGTAATGCTTCACCATATATTTCTGCCCAGCTACTCTTTGTCTTCATCTGTCCATCACCTGCTGTCAAATCATGCCTCTTCGACAGAACTCCATCCCATTCTTTTCTAAATCACAGTTGTTGCAGTGCAAGCAGGGGCAGATGACACAGACGTGAACAGATAAAAGCACAGACAGAGGAGTGGATGGAGATGCGGTCTTATTATGTGAGATATGGCAGACACTGCAATGCACGTAGAGAAATCCGTGCAAGAACTAAGTGGCATGCACCGGAGCGAAAAGACTTAACTACAAAGGGCAGATGCTGCTGCCGTTCATGATGATGACAATTATCATTACGATCAACATTATCGTGACAGCAATTATAGATAAAAAGAGCAAACAACAGATGATAATGTTGACAAAGATGCCAGTGATGATGATAAAGATGGCGATACAGGTGGATTTAGCGAGCACTCGGCATATTGCTGTTACCTGTGGGAAGAGACCTCCTGTTGGAAAGTCCTTGCAAGGTGAAATGCTTCCTAGCATTAACAGCCGAGTAGCCTGACTGGCTGGCTGAAGCGTCAGCTACGTAGCAAAGCGAGATTAAGCAGAAGTTAGTACATTAGAGAAAGAAGAAGCAGTTTGAGCGTTGCTTGAAAAGAATAAAGTGATGCAAAGGGTTTATATGGCTGTCAAAGTGCTCTAATAGTATTTCTTGTCTTGACTTGAATTGCAGACTTACTAAACACTTGCAGGTTGTTTATGAAGCAAGTATACTGTACCATATGGAGACACATACCTTTTCCCCATAAGTCAACGTTTCATTACGTCAAACTTATACCTTAGAAAATAAAATACTTAAAAGAGATTTTTCCTCTCACATGTGGTAAACTTGAACTACACCACAAGACATATTTGCCAACACTTTTTCAACTGTTTATTCAACAATAATATCAACAGATTAAAATTAATGTACTGTATCCTTGGACTCGGAGTCAATAGTGGCTCGTTTACCAGAATTAACTTCTTGAAAGAATTTGGCATAATTGTCCATCACTTTGTGACATTGGCATGCAGATAATTTTATGCAATCTTCCATGCAAAGCGTGCAGGATATTTAAGGATTTTTCTCACATACACTGCAACTTTCATTCATTATTCTGACTCACTTACGGTTCGACTTTCAGATAACCTTTTTATCATTTGCTGTCAAAGTGTAAAATCATCATTCTGTCCAAGATGCTTTCGATCATGTGAGGCAGTCAAATCTTCTTCCAACTACTGTGCAGATGATGGAAAGCAGAAAAGTCTGTCATAAAAGCAGATTGTTTCCTAAGACTGATATTTAGGAATCTACTATAGATTATTACTATTCGTTATTATCTGTATTTTGTGCTGTTGAAATATGAAATTATGTCATATTAAACATTGAAGTTAAACGGTACAACTGGCCAAAGGAAGCTAAGTGAAAGAGGGACTTAATTCTTCCATCTTAAACCTTGAATGGATCATCTATGTCCAAAGAAGAGAAGCTAATACTACAAGATAAATGACAATAACAATGAAAACATAGACTTACAAAAATGGAGATTTTGATGAAAGTCTTCACTTCACATCTGTTCAATTTTCCCCTCATAGAGGTTTTTTTTTTTTTTGGAAAACACATAACACATTGAGCCACTTTCCTCAGATAATAACTATGGCTAAAGTTCCCTAACCACAGCCATCAGTCCAGAGAAACTCAATAATTGACAATTTTTTAAGGAATGT